GCAAATTGGACGCTATCCCGGTCGAAAGTTACCGCTTTCGAGCCACCAAAAGGGTAATCGATTTAACCCTAACAGACTATTCCTACCCCGACGACGATTTGAAAGTGATTCACGCGCCGATAAACCCCCCCAAGAGAAGGGTTTTCAAAGGCGAGTGTTCGAATTCAAAGCCTGAACCGGTTCAGGAACCCGAGCCAACCGCCCCTTCAACCTTCATGTGCGAAATCTGCGTCGACGAAAAGCCGACCGAGGAATTATTCCGTGTTCTCGGGTGCAGCCATTCGTACTGCTCCGAATGCATGAGCAAATACGTTGGGTCAAAGCTGATGGAGAACATCACTAACATTAATTGCCCTGTTTCCGGATGCAGAGGGTTTCTCGAGCCGCACCACTGTCGTTCGATCTTGCCTAAGCCGGTTTTCGACAGGTGGGGCGATGCGTTGTGCGAGGCCATGATTTTGGGGTCCGAGAAATTTTACTGCCCTTTCAAAGATTGCTCTGCTTTGTTGATTGATGACAAGATGGGAGGGGTGGTCCTGCAGTCGGAATGCCCGAGTTGTAATCGGCTTTTCTGCGCGCAGTGTAGGGTGCCTTGGCATTTGAATATTTCGTGCGCGGAGTTTAAGAAGCTCGACAAGAATGAGAGGAGCAATGATGATTTAATGCTGATGAATCTTGCCAAGGAGAAGAAGTGGATGAGGTGTCCCAAGTGCAAATTCTACGTCGAGAAGTCCGAGGGTTGCTTGTTCATGCTATGCAGGTATTTTTTCACTTACGATGCTGCTGCTGCTTTCTTGTTATTAATTGAACTTTTCCTCTGTTGTTTTTGTTGGTAATGCTTCGTAAGAAGCTACCGGTAAATCAATATGCGAAATTGGCTTATGTGGATAATAATTTTCTTTTTACGGACGAATTCAAGAACCAAACCATTCTACTGGTAATTGTTCGATACTGCGCGGCACATGTGATTACCATAACTATATATAGGGCTGCCTAGGATTGAGAAATTCAAGATAGTAATGAATTGGAATCTAAATATCGAACGATGTCGTTTATGGTTTTGGAAAAGTGTGATGTCAGTCGCAATGAAAGCTATATAAATAATCTGTCGCTTAATCGAACGCATTTTGCTCTCATTCCTTATGTGCCTTACATGCTATTTTTTCGTCTGAGAATCATTCCTCTGTTTGTTGCTTTTAGGTGTAAACATGCATTTTGTTACAATTGCGGACATACGACAAAAGATCACTACTGTAAAAACTGCAAGCGCTAAATCCCGAGCAGTTATTGATTCACAAATCACAGCGTAGAGGTACAATAGTCGGATGGAAGGTGGTGTATATACACGTCAAAGATTGACGTTCGTATATTTAACATTATTATATTTTTTTAGAAAGAACCAGGCTTTGTGTTCCGGTTCCTTTTGGCAGATTTGTTTTTCGATAATTTATGGTATATATATGAAATGGAATAGCATTGGAATGATCTTTGGTAGTAGGTTTGTTTGGAATTTGTTTGGTTCTTAGAGTCTGCATATCTGCTGAAATTATTAGCTATAAAACTACTTTGTTCAAAATTAAGGATTTTATTTCCCTCTTGCGTGCATTTTGATTTTATTCATAAAATTCATGCAATTCTCTAATTATGGCCACCCCTGAGGTATGGCCAAATTATGAAAGACCCCTCTTGTTTGGGTAATTACATTCACCACCTTCTTTGAAATATTTTTACATAAAATTTATGTAATTCGGTTATTTACCAAACCAAGTCGTACATTTAGTTCAGCAAAACGGTATGATGTTGGCGTATCGAAATTTCGATTCGGTTTTACCGAATTAATATCCCTAAATTTACCTCTTGAAGGGTCTTTCATAAGATAATAATACATAGTTGAGGGGTGGCTGTAATTATCGAAACAGGAGGGGTTTCGTAATTTGACATAACACTGGTGTGACCGTAATTTGCCCTTTATTTTAAAACAAAAGTATTTTCACTCTTCTGTCCACTTATTTTGCTTTTATTAGTAAGATTGATGCAATTTAATTTAAAAGAAAAGTATTTTCACTCTTCAGTCCACTTATTTAATTCAATTTTTGAATCGTCAAGGAAAATAACAAAAAAATGTATAGCACTTGTTATTTTTTAATTTTTACTAAAAAAATCGACGAAATGTTCAGTTCTTCTTTAATATTTTTTTAGCACTCAAATCGATGTTTATCTGTAAGTAGTCAAGAAAATAGTTCATCTAAAAATCTAGCTTAAGAGTTTATAAGCAAATCACAAAAAACCGTATACTATATAGTACACATTTTTTTAACTAATTATCACCAAAATATTTTTTAAGAAAATATATATTTTTTTAGCACTTGAATAGGTATGAAGGATATTTATTTAATTTTTGAATTGTCAAACAAAATCACAAAAAAATATGTATGTTACAGTATACGTTTTTTTTTTACTAAAAATCGCTAAAATGTTCAAATGTTTTTTTATTTTTTTTAAGCAATCAAATATATATTATTGAAGATATTTATTCATAAGTAGTGAAGATATAGTTCATCTAAAAAAGATTCACTACTTTTTTAATTATCAAGCAAAACAACAAAAATTATATACTATTATAGCACATGTTTCTTTAGTAAAAACCGATAAAATGTTCAAATTTTTTATTTGAACTTTCAGCACTCAAATATATAGTGTTAAAGATTTTTGTCCGTAAGCAGTCAAGAAATAGTTTATCTAATACAAGTTTTTACTAATTGTTTAATCGTCAAGCAAGATCCCAAAAAATCGTACACTATTATTAGTACACACCTTTATTAAAAATTGTCGAAATGTTCAGATCTTTTCTTAATATTTTTTTTAACAATCAAATATGTACTATTGAAATCTCAAGTAGTCAAGAAATAATAGTTCATAAGATAAATTTCACAATTTTTTTAATTGTCGAGCAAACTAATAAAAAATCGTATACTGCACTCTTTTTCCTAAAAATCGCTTAATTGTTCAAACTTCTTTTTAGTATTTTATAACACCCAAATGTATAGCATATAAGACATTTATCCATAAGTAATCAAGAAATAGTTCATCTGAAAATTATTTCACTAATTTTTTAATCGTCAAGGAAAATCACAAAAAATCGTATACAATAGCATACATTTTGTTGCTAAAAATCACTAAAATGTTCAAATATTATTTTTAGCATCAACATATATAGTATTGATTATATTTATCCATAAGCAGTGAAGATACAGTTCATCTAAAAAAGATGCACTAATTTTTTTATCGTCCATCAAAATCGCAAAAAAATTGCACTATAGCACACGTTTTTTACTGAAAATCGATAAAACGTTAAAAAAATATATTACGCGTTTAACACTCATATATATAGTATTGGAGATGTTTATCCATAAATAGTCAAGAAATAGTTTATCTAATAAAAGTTTCACTAATTTTTTAACCGTCGAGCAAAATCATAAAAAAATCGTGCACTAGATGAAAAAATGAAGCATGTCATTTCAACACCGTTGGATTGGAGATGTCGTATCGGATAGGCAATAACAGTCTAATTAAATCTTGTCTTGAAGGGTCAAATAATTCCAGATTTAAAGACGAAAAAAGGGTGTCCAGCTTCTGCTAATTCTCACAAGATCTAATTCTTAACATGAAAAATTATAGGTATATATTGGAACTTCTTTTTAAACAAGACAACAAGAAAGATACCTTTATCACATGAGGCTATCAAGTTGAGCCTGCAAATCTTGTATTGAAATCGTATCAACGACACTTTGTATGTCTTCGGGAGAATACTCTGATTTAAGCAGAGACTGCACTTGAACATGGGCTTCTACAATGTTCGTCCTGCAAATTAGAGGTGAAACAACTTTCATCAACAAATTATCGAGTTGTGTTTTAGACTTCACAAGAAATAGTAGGAAAATGTTTTCCTTTTATAAAATCACAGTTTGAGTCGAGAGTGTAATTGAAGGTGTCACATTCATGTTAGGGTTTGCTGGAGAGAATAGGCATTCAAGATTAAGAAGATAACGAAGAAGATGATTAAAAATGTTGGGTGAGAGGACCATATATCGTACTTAATTGGTTTGAAAAGTATAGCGCGTGTGGCAGGGTTCTGTAGATAAAGCTTCATTTTAGTCATTACTCTCGGGAGCTCCTGTTGAATAGCAGAACCCACCTGTCATAAAATCAACCGCATTGTTCATCAACTAGAGCAGCTGAAAACAAAAAATAGAAAATAAGACGAGTGAATAAACGTATACCTTATGTACAAGTTCAGCGACCTTTTCAGGAGTTGCGAAAGCCTGATCTTTGAGTGGCTTACTAATGGCAGACTCCTGATTTTTAAGACTACCCGAGGATAACGCAACTTTCACTGCGGTGACCTTCACAGACAAAATTATTTTTACTAAATATCATGCCAAAACATACTCGACTAGCTTAGTTACATAGATATAAATCTTTATTACTATTGTTTCCCAGGTGAATTCAGTCTGACTAGTATCCGTATAGAAAAGTTAAAAAAAACATAACAGACCTTGGTGGCAAAAGACAGCATAGGGTCCACAACGAGCTTAGTCACTGACATAATAAACTCCTCACAAGTGGCTTTCAGGCTTTTCTCCAATTCCTGCATGTGAAGACGATATCAACAGTGTATGGCCATTAGAAGATAGAATTCACCTTGTACACAAAATAGTGAAATTTATTGATATTATTGGTAAAGAACTATAAAAACACAGTCTCTGCACTGTTGCAGTTCCTGGTGTATAACTTTCAGAACCTCCTCGGTTATTGGTAAACTGATGTTCGGCGAAGGCTAAAACTCAAAATATATGGCGACAAACATATAATTTTATTGTTTAGAAAACTAACAAAGGCAATATTTATATGGGGTCAGAATGCATTGATCTAAATCTCCAGAATACAGAATCACAAGTCCCTTCAACAAATGAGAGGCAGTAAGATACCTTCTTGGCATCAATTTGACTTTCCAAAACTCTTGGAGATAAAGTTCTAGCCAGGGATGTGGACCTTGACCAATCAAATAGCGAGGCCTGACCTCTAAGAATCCGTCTCAAATGTTCCTAAGAATGTAATGGATAGAAACATTTATTATCACCACAAAAATAAAAGTATGAAGAAATCTCTCTGAACTCAAAATACTTCATTTTCATGAATAGTTACAGCTGTTGAAATCCATTCTATCATATAGCATGACAAATGTCAATATTGTTTGAACAGGGGTTATGCATTTTCTCAGAGTTCTTGCAGTTTTCTAAATTGTTATTCATAAACAACATACATGATGTGAATGAGACGAGACGGTTCATTAATCAATGGATAATTCTATTAAAATTTCAATTTCATAACCATTCGATAAGTTTTCAATTCTCTGATACAGATCTGCTTCAATCGTGTACATTCCAAATAATAAACATGGTTTTTTTAACTCAAGAAGAGAGAACATCAGCAACAGGGGAAAATCAGTACCAGCAAATGAGAGAAATCAAGCTCTTTGTGTGTAACTGAGAACTCAATATCAAAGGGTGCGATCTGCAAATTGATACTAGTATAAGTAAAATACAAGAAAAAAAAGAAAAAAAAAAAACTATAACCATTACCATTAATTATTTTAGGTTAAAACATTACCTGCTCTCTAAGGATAAGAAGAAACTTTATGAGAAAGAGTTGCCCATCCATTGCAGACGATCTTTTTGCAATTTGTTTGGTAGCTTTCTGCCATATCAAATTAATTTACGAAAGTATTATCAAAAAGTAAATGCATTGGAAATAAGAGTATTGTCATGAAATAAAATAGAAAGGTTAGGCTAGGTTATAATCAAGTATCAGGAATTCAAATATACAAAAATGAGATACATTGATCTAGTGAGTGTATGTTAATGCTCAAGTAATTTCCAGAATGAAGATGATTTACAAAGCCAGTTCCCTAGGTCAGCTGTGGCTTTATGGAAATGCTAAGGTGGTGTCTTCTCTCACTATATCTCAACAGTTAATATACAAGTAAACTTAAAGCACTTACCTGAATGGATAACGAGCAAACTTCTACAGCTTCCTGATAAAAAGTAGAATAAAATTAAAATTTGAAGAAGTTAGAGAACCACAGAACAATGAGAAAGATAGCCGAGCACTAATACCTGAGCCAAGCCAGTAAAAACTGCTGGTTCAAGACAACGATATAGTTTGGACAAACAGGATATAGTTTTCTCAAGTGGAGGATACCAAGTTTTGGAAACATCTGGGCTCTGAACACTCTGCAACCAGATACGAGGGACATATATTAGTTACTAAAGACTGAATTTTTATTCAAACTGAGTAATATAAAAGAAAAGCGAGCTAGATTATCATAAAGACGAAACAGAAGCCCCAACAGCACAGCATTTTGAGACCAGGATATCAAACTAAAGCTTAGCAGGCAAAAAGAACACATGGGAACTCAATTACAAGCTACAAAATTCAGAAAGAATGATCGAACACTCACAGATGATGTTTCCGACTTTATCTCTGCTAATTGCTCCAACTTAGCAGGGTAGTCCAGGTCTTCATCCAGTGGAATATAATTAGCAATCTACATAAGGAAAACAGGTATATGTTACTTTTTAACTTTTATCAAGAAGGTCAAGCAAGTTTAGGCATCATGATGTCCAAATATTGTTTCTCCTTCTGCAAGTAAAATGTCTAAAAAAAATGGTTTTTATAGAAGCAAGCCTTCTTTATTCTCTCATTGTGCTTTTCAAAGGGACTATGCTCGCTAGCAAGAAACTAACTTCTAGGAGCTATATATACTTACATAAGCAAGGCAAAAAGATTCCAAAAATTAATGAAACAAAGTTATCATGAGTTAAATGTCTCAACCAAGAAGTATATAGATATTAGCTACATATATGACCCCTCACCAATAGAATAAGGACATGTAACTGATTTTCTTGAAGTCCAAATATTTTCTTATTTTGAGTTCATCATGAATTATTGGGCCCCATCTTGATTCTCTCTATGAAACTCATTTTCCTTCATCTTAAGCACAATTCTCAAACAAACTAGAGAACAAACAACTATAATATGAACGAAAATGAAAAGGTAGAAAATATCTTGTGCCTGGAAACCATGCAGTAAAATCTAGGCTCTAAAGCAATAACTTGATCAGGGTGCAGTAGTTACCTCATCACGAATGTGAGTTCTAGCACGAAAAGTTAAACGCTCATGAACATCTGCCAAGATCCTTTCAAATGTTGGGCGTAGTCCTGCTAGTGACTCACCTCGTCTACTTACTTGCTCTGCTAGGACTTCAACTTTAAGAATATCAACAAGCTCACAAAGAATATCAAGGTTTGCTTCATGGATAAGTTTTGGACGCAATGTATCATACAAGTAAGTACACCTGCCATTTGTTGAATGAAGAGTTTGAGTTGGGTGTTGCATGTGAAAGAGAATCTAAGAAAATTATATCGAGAAAATTATTTGAAGCATCCAGTTATATCTACTGGGAGAAAGTATCCATCTTTAACAAATAGATGAGTGATAATTTTTTCGAAAAATTAACAACATTTATTTTCCTATTAAACAGCTAATAGTTGATGTCTGAGGAGCCTTTCATATATTGACTCGTGACATGGTTCTAGTGTTTCATCATTAATTAAGGGACTGTAGTTTCTCGTTAAACAGCAAGAATAACAAAACATATTTTCAATCAACGCATAACTCTTACAAAAACAAAACTACATAGTTTCTGACGGGCTGAGCATCATCTCATTAGACCAAGTAAGACAAATCTCAAGGATCACAATTCACATATTGTGCACCAAAGAAAGACATTGCTTTGCTATTTCTCAAATAAGAGAACTCTACATTGCTCAATAAAACTGAACTTTTTCAGGAACTCAGCAATTTGTATATAAGATTAACAGAAGGAAACTAAACATGCATAAAAAATCATAACATTGAAAGGGCTTACAGAGGATCTATTAGAGGAGCCAAACTTGACACATCCTCCGAAGATAACGGAAAGAAATGATCGAATAGTTGATGCTCAAGTTGGCACACCTGCATGCATAACCATTTAACAGAAATCTCTTATTTACTTTTGAAGGTAATAGTTTGATGAATCCAAATGCTAAAGCTAACAAAGAAAACTCCTAAACCTATAGTAGTAAAGAACTTTGTGGACTGGAGGTGAAAGGTTTATCTAGATTGTTCACCAAGGAAATTGAGAAGAAAAAAAATTGGCGCTTAATCCAAAGAGGGATAACCAGCTGCTTTTTTGGTGCTAAGTTTATTTGCCTTCCTAATCAAACACAAAGTTAGACATATCCACTGAACTTATTCCCAATTAGATTCAGGCTGGATCTTCCTATATCAATCAAGCAAACTGCACTTCAAGAATGATATCTAAATATACAAATGTAGAGACAGATAGAACTTTCTAGGTATTAATTGCTCAGGGGCATTGAGAGAGCCAAAATAAAGTGAGGTCAAATGACCATAATAAGCTTCTAACCTCTATATTGTATGCGTCCCATGGAAGGAAAATCAAAATAAATTACATATTGACCCCATATGGACCATATATGACTAAATCTTAAAACTTAATAAACAATGGAAAATGTGCTATAAACACACTACCTGCATTAGGTATGCACAACCAGATCTAGTCAACGACGGAAGGGCTTCCTTCTTGGTAAATTCAGATATCCTTTGATGCACTATTCCCCTCACCTGGAGCCAAAGATACAAGTAGTAGAATAAAACTCCAGAAAAGGTACTAGTGTAGAAGAATAAAACGAGGATAATTTAACTTCAGTGAAAGATAAGCAGGACAAATTTATAGATTAGATAGAGGCAGTTCAACTCACCAATAAAAGCCTCTGTTCACAATAAATCTTATGGCATTCCATGAGCATCTGGACATATTCTTTCCTTGGTTTTCTACTTTCTATTTCCTCCAGTACTGGTTTAAGCTGCAAATTACAAATTTAGCAAAATTGACTCGATAAATAGTAAACCTTACTATATACCACAAAACTTACACCTTTCTAACTAAAATTTCATTCCATTAGTGTAGCCTTTTCACAAAGGGGGAATACGTTTCCAGCAAATAAGGAAAAAAAAGGCATGCAGTGTTAACATTATCACCTCATTTGCTGCTGCCTTGAACCGGACATATATTGCAGATGCCTCCACACCCTCTGAGACAGATGCTTTGTTGCCAGCACTGTTTTTTAATGCAGCCAAGACCTTGAAGGAACAAGAAAATTATGATAGCCAGATCCATTTTTTCATGTTAAAGAGCACTGATTTACAGTACACAGCGAAGGCCAAGCAGATCTACCTGAGACGAAGAGTTCTTGAGAACAGAGAGTACATGAGAACGAATCATTGCTAGAGCACGAGACTGTCAAGTTTAGAAAGAATTGCATAGTTTAGAAACCATAAGTCATCAACAACTAAAACGTGTTAGACCGCAAAGCTGATATATGTACTCCCATTGGATTAGGACATACCTGAAGTTGACGGAACTTGACCAAGTAAACATTGCACTCAGCATATTGCGGGTTATTTTCGACATACCTACATAGTAACAGAGAAACTTAAATGTACATATTAAAAAAAATTGATTTCAGGAATTCAACAGTAGAATAGCAATTTCTGTGGCAATTCAGAACCCTTCATTTTATTCATGATCCAACAGATTTCAAATCATGAGATAAATATATTAATGCCTAGAAAAGCACAAGGTCATATGCGAGTTACTGAAATTCGCATATCTAATCTTCTTTTGATATATACAAGCAGTAGCAAGTAAATTTATAAATTATGCAGTCCAACCAATATTGATGTATTTAAGTTATGTCACTTACGATATGCAGTCATCAAGTCTTTTGAGAAGTGGGAGGAAATTCTCATGTGCTACATTCATGCTTGGAGAATAAAAACTGGTTGCAACCTGCATATAGGTGGTATTAACAATCATAAAAATTCACATAAACTAATTTAAATGACAGTTTGGTTAAGGTCAAAAAATAATTTCATCAATATCACAACAGAAAGAATATGGGTATATTAAGTAAAAACAATAAGTTATCTTCAGTTCCAAACATTTTTTTGATATCAAGGGAAAACATTAAGTTATCTTGTTAAAGTTCTTAAATAAGGAACAGGCAAAGAAACTATGGCAGTAGGCATACATATCCGAGTTGCAGCACATTTTATAAGGTATGAAAAATTCTATACAAGGAATCCAGAATGGTTTCATGTAAAAGATGGTAAATCACTATAGTCAATCCTTAAGCAAATGGCATTCAAACCTTACATTCTCCAGTTCATCGAAGTAGTTGAGCTTAACACGAAGTGATTCAGCAAACTCAATTAGCTTTTGCTTCTCCAACAGCTGCAAGATTTGTAACATATACATCAAGTGATATACTTAACTGCAGTACGAGTTTATGCCCACACCAGTAGAAAAACTTTTGCTCCATAATGTTTAAAGAAGAAGGGCATAAATTACCAGTCGATCACATGCATCATGCAGAGTTTTTGTCTTTGTTGCAACTGCCTGATGCTGCAATTGTAGTTCATTAAATAATTCAAGGGTTTCATCCACCTGCAGTAAGTAATTTCAGCTAAAGTTTAGTTTACAGAGGAGTCAGGAAGAGAAACAGGATTGGACCATAATTACTGAGGTTGAATCCCACCAAGTGCCTATAACAATAAGAAAGTAAATCTTGCCTGATTGAGTATAGTGTCACATGTTTGTATTCTCTCTGTTAATGTCCTTACATAGTGTTGATACTTCTCTTCCGTCTAAAGAAAGAAAAGAGGATACAGATGACGTTAAAAGTCATGGTCACCCAAGGGCATGACAAACAGATTAGAGAACTAAGGCAACCTCTGATTTCATGGCTGCTTCAAGATCAGTGAACCATTTATAGAACTGCAAGGGGAAAAAATAGATCAATAAATAAATTGGCAAAAGAAAATCAGATTTAGTTTCAGATAGGGCCAAATCTCAAACTCAAACTAACATAACTATTTTATATAAAATAACAGACAATGAGCTCATAACAATATAGAAGTATGTAATCCTCAATTGTTGTTACTAATTTTAAGAATAAAAGGCACCACAGAATAAAATTATTCAATTTGTAATCTATGAAACTCGCCTGATAGCATTAGAGTTACAACGGCATGAAAGAATGGCCCATATACAGCTCTCTCCAGGATCTCAAGGATTTGAACTAGTATCCATACTAATATTCGTAAACCCTTATTCCTTGAAGTTTATTTTAACCACGAGTCAGAAGTTAAGAGCGATAAATTTTAGCCATGCATATATGAGTGATATGCCCCTTTCTCTTAGATAAATCAAATTACCTAAATCTCAGAGACTGTTCTCTTAGATAAATCAAATAACCTAAATCCAAATCCGACTAGACGGAGATTGTAGATGAAACGGCGACAAAACATGCAAAATTCAAAATGATACGAAGATACTTAAAGGTGTCGAAGATGGTGGGTTATATATTGTCAGTAATATCGATTGATAAATTTACAGGTCAAACAAGCTGGTTAAGTTTAGGTCTTTGAGGGCTAACCATACTCATTTCTTCTTTTGTTTAACTTGCGCTAATTGTAACAACCATCATCAGAAATTAGCTGAAGATGGGTTAACCATTGTCCATCGATACAGAAATACCATAACTGTATGTCAGACAGAATACTGCTAAGTCAAATTGTCCATACAGAGACGAAAAGGCAAATCACATGCCATCTGGTTACTTAGAGCCAGTAAATCTAAGCTTTTTTTTCAAATTAAAATGTCAATTTATACTGAGAAGAAGTTATGTGGCAATCATCAACAGTTTCTACAACCATAGTATAATAGTAATGCTATTTATCCAAGCAGATCACATCAAACAAGCAACTTAATATGCACCCTAAAAATTTAGTCCGAAATACCAGAAGCACGAGATAATCAATGGAAAAACTATTCACCTGGTTTGTATTAACCAGAACTGCCTCAATAGCCCCTGAATCCTCTCCTATGCTGTGCTTTGTTGAAATAGACAGACTATTCTCGAATCCAGCTACTTTCTCCCGTGCCTTGTGATTCCCATTAAACAAGAAAAGAGAAAATAAAATTCTTCAAATTTTAAAAACAGATACAGATCATCATGCAACAAGCAATATATCGGCAAAAGAACTACCAATTTTGGAGGAAAAGGTCGGTCAGCAACAACATGGGAGAGCGCAACAATTGCCGCCTGCTGCTGCTCTGTCAGTGGAGCATTCTGATAAAACGAAAGAAATATAGAGTTAGTAACCATAGGTAAATATAGCATTCACCAGAAACAGGAAATTTCGTTTAACCCAAGAGAATCATATACACATCGACTTACATACATAGATACATATCTGTGATAGATCCCAGGATTTTAAAAGGAATCAAATACATTTATACTAGCAATTCAATTTGAAGTCGACAATGTGCTTGTGGATGATCAAAGAAACTGGATTAGGTTAATTACGCTAACGTGATTCAACAAATACACAAGAAAACAAATCAATTTGTTATTTGCAAAACACATCAAACGAAAGGGGGTTACGCGCTGAGGCATCCGGAGTGAGTTAAATTACTAGTAAAGAGTGAAAAACAACATCAGATCTATCAATACAGCGATCGGATTGAGATAGAAGGGGGAAAAATCAAAACCTGCTCCCAGGTAGAAGCGAAGTTGTAGCCTTTGGAGATCGCGCCGGATTTAGGCACGGTGGCCTTTCCACCACCCGTCGCCGCCGCGGTCGCAGCCATTTCACTCTACTGATTGAGAAAAAAATTACAGCTCCACAGGGATCCGACTGCTTTCGGTTAGATAAATTATTTGGTAGGTGAAATTGAAAGAGGGGTGAAAGCCATTATTGCATCAAATTAATCTACTGCGAAGCTTTTTTTACTGGAGAACCCATTTAATTAATATGAAAAATTCTTTTTTGACAATTTTAATTTAGTTCAATAAATGGAATCAGCCTTCATAAATAAATAAAAAATAATATAAAAAACTATTTCATTTATTTATCTATTTTGTGAGAAAATAATGAGCTACAAAAACATTTTTTAAGTTGCTGAAATTCTTACACGATTTCTACTGTTTTTCCCCCACAAAAAAAAATTAAGAAAAAAGAAAAAAGAAACACGTTTTATGAGTAAATGTCCAAAAAAAAAAAGAATAGTGAAAATTACAAGGAGGGTAAAATAGATTGATAGTAGTCAATCTTTAACATCAATTACACCTTCTACAGAAATTTGAAATCTAGCTTCAGCTTCAGCCAAACACGGCGAACTCACTACTTTGCATATTCGCTCCTCTCCTCTTCCTTTACGCATAGCCAGCCTGTTTCGTCACCGTATATAAATAAATAAATAAAACAACAAATAAAAACAAAAGCACGAAAAAGAAAAAGAAAAAAACGAACCTAGTAGTAGTAGCATGCGCCATAATATTTCCACCAATGGGTTTGAACTGAGGCCCAGCGAACATGGCGGATCCATCCACTTGAGCAACCACTTGGTTCGTTATTACAACAGCCACCCCAAACTACAAAACACGAACAACGTGTTTAAACAGCAAGCTTTTAATCTTACTCGTTAACTTAAGATAAGATGCGATATAGAATTAACCTCGTCTGCTAATTTCTGAAGGCTCCTCAAGAACTTGGCGAGATGCATTTGCCTTGCCGATAATTCCCCTCTGCCCGAAAAATCTGTCCTGTATAGAGCTGTAGCACTATCTACTATCATCAGAGCAAACCTGCATTCATCAAAAACGTGTTACAGTCAATACTCGATTGCCTCGAAAATCGCGTGTATAAACCCTAATTAGTTTATCTAAGTTAATGAGACGATATTGCAAAACCTGGTTTCGACCATCATGGATGCAGCTTCTAGAAGAAGCCTGGATTGATGGTCGGTGTTGTATGCTCGAGCATAGGCCACATTCTCCAACACATCAGGACCGTTCAACCCAAACCTACAAGTTTTTGTTTTTTACGACGTACGAGTATTATAAGCAAAATAATGCAATGTATAATAAACAGATTATTATTTCAACCTCGATGAAGATGGTCCCACCTGTCTGCTATCTGTAGTAATCTTTGTGGTCTGAATGTTCCCTCGGCATCAATGTACATTGCTTTTCCCTCACCGCCACCTTGGTCTAACGGAAGCTGTAACATTAACCAAAAAAAAAAAAAAATTAAAGTCATTAGTAATTAGTAAGTTGTTATCGAGTAGGGTTTATTAAAATTAAGATGATCTTACTTGACAAGTGACACAGAGTGTATGGCATAGTTGAGTCTTTCCAGAGCGGAACTCCCCATATAGTTCGGTTATCGACCCAGTTTCGATTCCTCCTGTTAAACATAAATAAATAAACGATATAAAACGAAGTTGTATAGCTGCATGGGTATATTAAAGTATGCGGTCAATATCAAACCTTCTAAAATTTTATCAAGTTCCTTCGAGCCAGAAGTTATTTGAATTATATCAACTCTCTGAGCATGGAATTGACCAGCACTCGTGAAACCCAAAGGCACTAATTTAGAAGCTGTTGACAGTTATCAAAGAAAAGTCAATATGCTGTACGATGAACAAAAAAGGCGAAGAGACAAGAATATCATATATCTTGAACGAGAAAAACATGCCTGCTTCGATTATTTTATCAACTTTTGCGTCACTGATTCCTTTTATTAGCAGAAGCTCCTTCCTTGGAGAATATGCTACAGATTCCACAGTGCACAAGCCTGCGTCTTTGAGCTTTTTAATGTCAACGGCAGCAATCCCAGATGCCTAAAGAATAGCAGATAAATTAATCTTTAGAATCTATATAAATATCAAGTTTTCGTACAGCCAAATTGAATTTATAAGAGCTAAAGGTATCAGCTACATTTACTTCTTGAAATTCAACGGGCTTTAGTAATTTAAAACTACACTGAGTAAGGACATTAGTACGATAGTACCCCTAGCATTTATTTAACAACGAGAATTGAGGGACGAAACCCACAAAAGATTTCGTCTGTTATTCATATGTCAAAATCCATTTTTATTATGGAAAAAATCAAGGAAATTTTTTTGAGTTGCACCCTTCTTAGCCCTTAACGAGAGCTCGATGAATTTTCTTAGGGTTTTTCCGCCTGCCCAAGCTTATCAAAAATAACTGTCTTAACCATATTCTGTTATGTCTAGATAAGAGTATAAAGAACATCAACGAACTTCCCTCATCGTAGCAAATGATGAAAAGACAGTCTAAAATCATAAATGATTTGCACCCAAACCCTCGTCTCAATCTAGCGAAAACATCATGCCGCTCAAATTCACCAGATGCATATGGCATTACAACATTTGAGGGCAATCAAAATTTTCCATATCATTTTAAGAGTTCCTCAATGCGGCCATTGAATTGTATTAATCGACAACCTAACTCAATGAAATCGAACGGATCCCTCGTCGCCCAAAAGCATAATCGAATAGCGGAAAATTGAAACCCCAAAATGATAGATCTTTACGGATTACGACCATTGAAAAACAAACCCATCAAATTCTTCGCAAATAAAAAAAGGTCGGATTTTGAAAATTCCCCAAAAATCTAGGTGAATTAAAGAAAACCCATTTCAAAGAAACATAAAACCCATAAAATTAAGAGAGAACAATCGATAAATATTGAGAAGGTGGAAGGTATTTTCGACCTGAAGTTGCTCGACTGGAATAGGGCCATGGTGAACTTCTTCCACTTCCTCCTGTTGTTCTTGCTGCAACTTTTGCCTTTTCTGCTGCTCCATCTATGGCGCTACCCCGTGAATCAGTGTGTGTGTGTGTGTGTGTGTGAGAGAGAGAGAGAGAGAGAGAGAGAGAGGGAAATGGGAGGTTTTTGAAGTGTTTTCGAAGGCGCGAAAAGGAGATATTTACAGAATTGGAAGCAGAAGAAACTTCTTGGGTAAGCCTTTGAGCACTTAGGTAATCTACTTGGGCTTTTTAATAGTTGGGCCTAACACACCCTGTTTTGGACTTTTTTAAGGGCCCAATTTAGAGTTTTATTTTGGGTTCTATTAATGGTAAATTACGAAAACCCCTCTAAAACTCAAAACTAAATTTTGCAAAATGCCACCATCTATACGTAATTGTCAAAATTCCACCAAATGTTTTTTTACATCTTACAGCGATCCGTTTGTGTGATTCGTCATGGAATATTTTTTATTCTAAGTAATATTTTCTGAAAAATGTCGATTATACCAATATAGACGTGGCATATTTTTATACTACTTTTTAAACGAAAAAATTACCCTTCGAGAGCCTTTACACAGAATCCTCACTTGTTCTTGAATAACAATTTCACAAATTTTCAGTACTTCATTACTCATATGAGGGTAATTTTTTTTCTTTAAATATTAGCATAAAGAAATGCCACGTTTTGCAAAGATAAAATAGACATTTTTTGGAAAATATTAACTGGAAATAAAAAGATTCCGTGGAAAATTAAAGCATAGATAAGATGGGTATAAAAGGAAAACAAACGTTTATGATATTTTGATAATTAGTGGCGATATTTTTTATAATCCCAATCCTAAGAAGTCCCATCAATCAAAACCTCCAGTTAGTTGGAGTTGAATTTATTATGGAAAATTCAATATTTGTAGGTCACTGAAGTCACATCAATTAAGCAAATTAACTGCAATGAATTATTGGATGTTTTATTCAGAAATATATAATTAAAGTTCAGATTATGCTGATTAGTTAATAAGCTTAGCTGTAATTCAAATTCAACTTTGCCAAGATTTTGACGTTACACCCTCTCTCTCTCTCTCTAGATTTCATCAAACATCTTCTATAGCTCAATATCCAAGTTTATTGTTTACAATATATTTCGAAATACATTAAAAATCAAGTAATATATGCATTTGGAGACATATTCCCCAATATATTGGACGACAAACAAAACATCTAGAAACATCCATCAAACTTTTAACCATCATAATACGACGACGTATAGACATATACATACATACACATCCCATGTATCTATATATTATGTTATAGGCCAGAGACGAAAGTGACACCGGTGGAAGGCAACCACGAATTCCCACCAATGAAATTAGACACCGTAAATTTCGCAGCCTCCGCCGTGCCAATTACTTCAAATCCCGGCCAGTTCACCCTGCCGGAAGTCGCGCCGCCGGGGCCCATATTTTCATACTCAGCAAAATACAGCGTCCTGTATGTTGAACCGGCGGCTCCCTCCCACTCGGCCCACCCACGGCTCGAAATCTCGCCGTCGATGTTCGTCTGCATCACCACCGCCCTCGAGTACTGCTTCCACGGCCGCCCCAGGTACGAGTCGTACGAGCTCTTCACCGGCGAGAAATCCGCCCCCACCGTGATCTTACAGTTCTGCACCGAGAACCCCGTGTTCTGCCCCGGGTCGGACCGCCCGTTCGCCAGGATGGTGTTGAACGCGCCGCCGTTGCGCGGGCGGCGCAGCACCAGCGTGCAGCTCTGGAACACGGCGGCGGCGTTCCCGAATATGAAGTCCACGGTGCCGTAGATATCGCACTCACGGTAGAATTGACGGAGGGAAAGGGCGTACAGCGTGTCCTGATAACCCGAGATACTGCATCTGTACACCACGGAATGATCGGAGGCGACGGTTAACGCGATTGCTTGGTGGTTTTCCGGCCCCGCCGTGTTTTGGAATCCGATATCCCTCGCTATGAATCCATCTCCCGTTATTGCTGAAAAAATTAAAAATAAATTAGTCTCATATGATGCGCAGATTAGCATGCCCACCAGCTGTATGATAGAATGACTCAGAGAGAGAGAGAGAGAGAGATTACTGAAAGTTGCAGATCCACGTAGGTTAGAGCCCTTGCCAACACTACTACCGCCGGAGATGACAGTGGAGTATTTTCCGTCGCCGATTAACGTAATCCCATCTTTATTAGTGTTAATCTTCTCGTTATAAGTACCAGATTTCACATATATTACGAAACGGCCACCCGTTGCCGCCTGGATTGCACCCGAAACCGTTGTGAAATCGCCACTCCCGTCTTTTGCGACGACGGCGCTTGCTTTTACTGCTCCCGTGCTCTGAAGCAACTTCCTGTCTCCGGCAGATACCCACGCCGGAAATTGGAGAAGACTGCGGCGGCCCGCCGGAGATTCGCTAGGGTTTCCGGTGATCCGGTTCACCAGGGCTAACGGGTTGCTGATCAGTTCGGAAAGATAATCCATTTTATTGTATATTTTTCCCACGTAGGCATTTGATGCCACGTGTTCCTCCATCGTGTCCTTGCAAGTTTGCTGGAATGTGAGAGCTGCACTAAGCCATGTTTGGATGTCGGCTTTGTGATTTTTTGGTGATTTTTGGAGCAGTTCCATTGCTTGGTTCAGTCGTTTTAGTGACATTTTCATGAGTTCGTCACAATCATCTACAATACATACATACATGTTTATATACATATATATATATATGTGTGTGTGTGCGCGCGTTGACTTTGACTTATACGTAAAAATTTAGATTTTATATGAAAGAATAAAATATACTTGTGATATATGAAAATTAAAAATAATTATTATTAAAAAAAAAAGATGGTTTTACGTACCGATAGCTGTTCGGATAGGTTGAGCGGCAGGAGAGTTGAGACGGGAGTTGATAATAAGGCTGTCGAAATAGGAAAGAGGGAGATTTGTCTCGTGAATAGTCTTGTTAACGAGTGCGGACAACAAATCGATGTTTTGATCGTTCGTGGCTGTCAAGGTTTGGACACACAATGTCGGATATCTTGTGTAACCGCATTCGCGCTTAATCAAGGGCTCTTCGTTGTTTGCTGCACATGATACTGCAATCAAACATGATAATATTATGAATAAAATAGGAAATTGGATAATGCATTTTGATGTTGCCATTTTTGTTAGGCTTAAATTGGAAAGAAATAGTATTGGATGATGGTATGAATGAATGGATTAATGGGGAAGTAAGGGCCAAGGCTTTTTATAGAGGGGATAAGTACTTTGGTTTTGGGCATAATTGCCATTTATCCATTTGGAATTATTAGTTTATATTATTTCTTAATTAGTTGTTAGTACTTTAGAAACAAAATTAAGGGTTAATAAATAGTTATTTTGTTCATTATTATTACATTGAGTCATCAATTTAAAACATCTATTTTTTTGAATTTTGATTGTAATTGTTACTTTCAGTCTCACACATCCATCTCACCTATTAGGCAGTTTAGGGTTAGCCGAGCTCGCCTGTTCTGGTAGACTCGAGCTCGAGCTCGTCGAATTTCTTCTTCTTTTTTTTGGCTCGAGCCGGTTCGTGGGTTCACGAACAACTAAAAAAAAAACTCAAGCTCAAAATATTTGAGTTCAGGCTTTTTTCGAGCCAACGAGTTGACTCAGCTTGTTTATCACCCGTAGTTTTTACCTAGGGATAAATTTCTTCTCTTTTGGTGAGTTTTAATTCCTCAACGATTGTTTCTCTAATTTTCCTCGTGCGATAATTCTCGAAATAATTATCACGTAACTTTTTTATTTATTGATAATTATTATCATGTGACTTTTGCAGCTAATAGACACATCAAATGAATGAAATTTGAGGGTCACGTTATTATAATACCTTTTTAATTTTCTTAAAACGTAAGCCTACTGATTTGATTATGGATAACGAGTTCTCAACATGACGTTTAAGGGTGATATTTAATCAACCTTATTTCAATTTACTTGAAAATTAAAGTTCCACGTAATTTATTATTATGAATTTGAAAAAAAAAAAAGAAGAAAAAAAAACATTATTTCAATCTGAAGATGTCTTAGGGTCTTTTAAACAATTAATGAAAAGTGTTTGATAAATTAAATACTTTATAAGAAAAAGAATTTTTTTAATAAGTTTTCGGATAAATCACAACAAATATTAAATATTGTATAAATTGTTGATTTTGAAAAATAATAATATAATTGACATATATATGATTTGTTGTTTAAAATATTAATAATTATGTATAATGGAAGACATAAAAATTAATTACGATAATACGGGGTTCCTAATGATGTAGGGTCCTGTGGATAATTAGTCAAAAAAAAGAAAATGATACCCCAACAATGAACGTATAGTGTACATATCAACTAACGCCAATGGATAATAATATCAATAATCCCTCAATAATTTAATTTAATTTATCGATAACCATTATTTATAACTAACTACTATATTTAATATATAATATGCCAAGTAATTAATAAGATACATGCATACGAGTGGAATTGAACCATAGAATCCGATGACGCAAGTTCCAATTTTAGAACAATTTTATTTATTTCGACTCCGACTTATTCATTTCGAATTTTTCTATAATTAAAATCGGAATTAGGAAGTACATATAAAAATAAAATAAAAAAATCCGATCTGATTTGTGTGATTTCACTACTAGAAAATCACGATTTAGCTACGGATAATAGCATCGAACTATACATTCGTCGCTAAAATAGAGAGTTAGTGACGGAATTAGCGACATCGTACAAAATCGTTGCACTAGTTATAACACTTCACTTATAGAGACGGATGTTAGCTACGGATGATAAATTTGTTTCTAAATAAATATTTAGCGACGAAAATTAGTGATGGCCACAAATGTGTTTCTAAATATAAATATTTAGCAATAGATTTAGTGAAGGACGACATATCCGTGACTAAATAAAATATTTAGTGATGAAAGTAGCTATGACCAAATTTGATTGAAAAAGTAAATATTTAAACATTTATTTTTCTTTACTACTATAAATTATTTTTAGTACACTAATAGAAAATATTCCTTGAGCAGGGTACACTATTATATTTATATATATTTAAAATTAAATTTACAACAAAGTAATAAATAAAATATTAACCTAAAATTAATTTGAAGAACAATAACCCAAAATATCAAAAGTCTCACCCTCCGCTTCCATTTTATTATTTTTATAATCAGACTTTTCCTTCAAAAGCCGGTGGAGCCCTAATGCATACCCCATCCCACCATTTGAAAACCCAAGTCCAACGATAAAGGAAATCCTTCAATGGGTTTCACTCGATTTTTCTCAGGTTGGTCTATTTATTATTTTCTCCATTTTTATAGATTTCTATACAATGTATTTTGGAGAGGTAAGAAACCCAATTACTGTTTATGTATATATTATTGCTGCTTTTTAGGTATTGCTAGAATTACCCATTCAGATTTTTCAGTCAGGGAAGGAACGATTTATGTTGCTGCAATTCCTAATCTCAAGTTCTTCTCAATCTTATCCAGGTACAAGTTCTTTCTTCGGTTCGTTATTTAAGTTATCTATGAAAACCCTAGCATTTGCTTCTTTGCTCATTTGAGTCGTAGTTTAGATATTGAAATTACAATATATATTTGAAATCTATCCCAACTCCTGTTTGCCGGGATCCAGTTAATTTTAAGATTCTTTATTGGGCTTATGAGGTATGTTTCAGAATGTATTCTTTGAAATGTATTGTCCAATATTAATTTTTTTTTTTGTATTTGTGTGTTGGTGAATTTGATGATAGATTTGTTTTGTCTTTGTGTTTTGTTGCTAGAACAATTTGTATTCATAAATTTTATCAATACCTAGCCATCTTTATATATGCTTCCTTCCAATCTGAGTAGAAAAAAAAAATTCCAGTATCGATTCCTCTACTTACTGTAAAGGGAATTGGGTGTTGCAGCTACTTTCATTAGTTAACTTTGTGTTTGTGGATAACTTGTAGTTATTATGTAACAATGATAGATACATTCAGACTTTATCAGATTTATGGTAATATAACAATAGAACTGGACATATACTCCACTAACAAGGATTGCATCAAGATGCTTATTGGGAACAAAGTTGATGTTGTTAGTCATTTTTTCCCTTGATTTCTCATCATTTTTTTTATCATTTATGTTTTTTTTATGCTTGCAAAAATAATTTCAAACAATCTGTATTTACTAATATTTTTTTTGGTTACTTATTTAACAGAAATACTGCCAATTTAGTTAATTAAACAAGTTGTCGGTAAAGATTATGTGGGGCAATATTTTGAAGAGCTTGCACAGCACTGAACAAGGACGAGTACATACTTTACTTCTAACTTGTCTTTCTGACCGTATGCCTACTTATTCCTTGCACTATGGAACAGCGAAACGGATCTAATTTTATACATGTACAATGGTAAGTCCACTTATCATTTTCCCTTTTCTTTTGAAGAGAATGGTGTAAACAGAGTAAATTTGCTTCTATTTATTGAACATTTGGATATATAAGCTAGATATTAGCCATTGAGTAGCATGATCTTTTAATATTAATGGGACTGATTTCTGATTAGTGGCTTATAATTCTTCTAGGAATCTCCTCAAACATCAAGGATTTAAAGTGTTGTAGAAATGCTGCTGACTCTATGCTACTAGAATGCTACTGGAAGGAGACTGAGGTTTGGTTCGATTTACTTATCATTTCTCAGTTTTCTTATCTTGTCTCTTTCACCACTGCTTCTCTTGGTAATTATTTTCAGCCGCAATTGCTAAGTTGTAAGTTAAATGTTTTACCTTGCTATTTATCTTCATCCAAGTTCTCTTCTTTAGATTTAAGTTAATATTTAGCTAATCATATTTTCCTTATTTTATTTTAGAAGAAAACCATAATTCAAGATGCTATCTAAGTGAGGCGCATAAAAGTCGAGCACAATTATCTGCTGGAGAGAAGGTCGGCAACTCGGCAATGCACTTACAGAATATAATTGAAGTTTTTTATTCTATGTTGCAAGCTGTCAGAAGATTATTAGTAATTAGTAGGCCATTTGTAGTGCACATTTATAAAATTGTCTGCTGACTTATTATGTATGATAATTTTATTGGTAAATATTATATAAATATTTGCATTGAGCTATTTATTTTTTTTAAAAATTAATTATTTTTTTGCAACGGATGTAGCAACGACTCTGTCTCTATCAAATATAGTGACAGGTTTAGTGACGGATTATGTATTGCTAAAATATCGACGATTGTAGTGACGGATTAGTTTGTTCCTAAAACTAGCGACGGATTTGGCAACGTTGTTGTTTTGTTACTAAAACTAGCGATGGATTTGTACCTTACGTAGCTAAATTTTAGCGACGCGGCTTTTAGCGACAAATATGGATACGAGCATTATCTGTCGCTGAAGCTATATTAGCGACGGAAGTTAGACATTTAGCAACAGATTTGGCCGTAGCTAAATCATGATTTTCTAGTAGTGTTTCCAGCAATACACATACTCGATTTCTTGTATTGTTAAAATTGAAAAAGCTTTGCCATAATTTAAAATTTAGAGTTCACTTCTTCTATGCTCATTTTGTATCACTAATGCTAATTTAATAACTTGCTACAGTAAAAAAATCAATTTTGTTATATAGTTATCGAACTAACTAAATATTCAATTTATAATATATATATATATATATATATATATATATATATATATATATATATATTTTTTTTTTTTAATTTCTAATATTACTAAAATATCAAATTCCCATGAACTGGTAATTAGTATTTTTTTTATATATATAAAAAAGATTAGACCAAATTAGTGGTACTACTTACTGGCTGCTAGCACGGAACAAGTCAACAAGATATCAATAATTGAATAAATAGAACCCAATTATGGGATTAATTGGGCAATAAAATAATCTAAATATAATATAATAGCACTTTAATTTCAGGATTTGACCAGGCAACGTAAAAAGTTGCAAAATGTCAAATCCACTTTTTGTTAATATGAATAAAAGCACACAGTCACATTCAGAAATGAATATGATATCTTAACTAAATTTAGCTTTACTACACGAAGAAGAAGATGAGGAAGATTGTCACTATTTTATATTCCCAATTGTATTATTTATTGGCTAATCAGTGTTATTAATTACGAGCTTATCTTAGCTTTTTTTGCCTACGTGTCAATGGCTAAAACACCCATTGTCAAGTCATAATTAATTAATTAATCAATTATTATTTTTCCATTCCATAGTTGATTATTCAAATAATGATCATTTCTGCCGACCAACAACTTCCTAGCCTTGCTAATACAAAATCACTTTTTTATAATATAGTTATACATTCAAGAGCTTACAAATTTCATTTGATTGGTTTTATCTTGACAATCGAATGGGAGTAGCACTTATAAACTTATTGCAAATAAGTCGATTTTTGCCCCCAGACACGACTCAACCTAACTGTCCGAACAATCATGTTCAAAAACATGTTTACAACGACACAGAGAAGTAACTCAAATTCTAGACGTCTGTTTTTATTTTATTTTACGAGAAAACGTAGATTTTTATTAGGCGATATATATGCCAAATACGAAGAAAGTTCCGGGCCTTCTTTACAATCCATACCAAGAGTACTATTTATTAGCCCCGGAAAACTCAACCCCTATGATCACATTAATTGCAATATATGATATTAATATCTAATAATTCCCGCCAAAAAGAAAATTTAGTTTTGAGGATCAACTGTTGGACCATTGGGCCTGGAATAACATTTTCTTGATTTACAATTCCAGGGCCTGTATGGAATTATCAAATGGGCTTGCTTACACATCAAATTCTAAATTTTTTATTAACACGTGTGAAATACTCAGATATGTAATGTAAAATATGTATACAACAACACGTGTATGTGTATGCATGCAAGATAGATCACAAAACCAAATTAAATGTAATCAAGTTTTATTCCTTCACTTATGAAAAACTTCCTAGTAATAATTAATTGTATAAAGGAAGTAATACAATAATGACATACACACACCCAAACAAACAAACAAACACACACATCCTTTGCAGAAAAGCCCGACAAACAATTATCAGTATATGAACAATCAATCCCTTTTGTCGATCAAAACTGAAGGAATTAACAAATAAATTAATAAAAACCCACATCCTAAATAAAACCCTTTTTTCTGTCTTAAAACTCAAATAAATAAATAAAAGAAAAAACAAAAAGAAAAAAGAAAAACACTGCTGCTGCTCAGGTAAACATGCCAAAACGCACAGGTACGTCAGGGTTCTTAAGCCAGGTTTCCCCCTGTAAAAAGGGGCCCACACTAAACTTCACCGCATCTTCCTTCTTAATCACTTTACACCCCGGCCACTTCACGCGCCCTGTAGTCGACGCGCCCGCGCCTTTATTATTATACTCAGCGTAGAAAAGCGTTTTTAGGGCAAAATCGCCGCTCCACTCCATCCAACCCTCCGCCTCAATAAAATCCCCAATCTCCGTCTCCATCACCACCGTTCTCGAATATTCCTTCCACGGCCGCCCGAGGTAGCTCCTGAATTTAGCCTTCTCCGGCTCCAATTTATCGTCGGCCAGGATCCGGCAGTTCTGGATCACGATTCCGGTGGTTTCTCTCTTGTCGATCCTTCCCTGTGCGGTCACGATCGTCTGCTGGTTGTCCATCGGCTTCCGGACGTAGATCAAGCAGTTCTGGAAAACCGCCGCCGCGTCGCCGAAGATGAAATCGACGGTGCCGGTGATGTAGCAGCTTCTGTAGAACTGTCTGTGCGTCTGCGCGTAGAGTGTGTCTTGGTACCCTTCCATTCTGCAGTTGACGAAGATCGAACGGTCGGCTTGGACTCGCAGCGCCACCGCTTGGTGCTTCTCCGGCCCCGCCGTGTTTCTGAACCCTAGCGATTGGGCCATAAATCCATCTCCTAGTGCAGCTGCCATTACAGAAATAAAAAGGTTTCACTTTTAGAGAATTTTTTTTATTGCATTTGGCTCCCATATATTTCTCTAATTGTTAAAAAAACTCCCTATGATTCAATTTTGTTAACTAATTACACCTAAAAATGCACATTACATGGGCTTGTTTAGCAATAAAATAAAATAAAGGGTACTGAATAAAATAAACTAAATTTTGTGTACCAAATGTGGCAGTTTGAAAAGTTGGAACACCATCAACGTAATTCTTTTTGCCGGTGATAATGCTCTTCTGTGATCCATCTCCGTACATTGTAACGTTCTCCATTTCCTTTGTAACGGTAACACTCTCATCGTACACACCTTCTTTAACATAAATCACATATCTGCATTTTATATTCACAATCAAAATTATTATTTCAAAATAAAAATAAAATAATTAATTATAAAATGATCCATACCGGCCGGAGTATTTCTTGGGCATTGCACCCAAAGCCTTGGAAATAGTGGTGAAATCCCCACTCCCATCTTTCGCCACCGTCACATTCGGAGTGAACTTGTTGGGCCCACCGGCCTTCAACAGCCTCCGCAAATCGTTATTCACCCACGTGGGGAATTCGCCGTCGTCGACGCTCACGAGTTTCCGGTGCGCTTCGTCTCCAAACGCGGAAAAGATGGAGGAAACCTGGGAGACAATGGCGAGCGCGTTGCTGCCAAGCTCCCTGAAAGTCTTGAGCATTTTCTGCATGGAAGTTTTCTCCTCCCCCTCGGGAAACCCGTCGATGCAGGTTTGCTGGTAGGAAAGGACGGCGCTCAGCCAGTTGTTTATCTCCGGCTTCAAGGTGGAGATCTTGGTCAGATCTTTGCCGGTGACGCTCGAGATGGAGGTGTTCAGCTCCTCCTTGGCGTCCTTGAGGAGCACCATGCAGTCGTTGAAGGCGGCCTTTTTGAACGGGTCGTCGAATTTGAGGGCGGCGGCCTTCTTGATCACGTCGTCGATCTCGGCGGCGGCGACGGCGAAGGAGGCGCGGAGGATGTCTTGGGGCTGGGCGGTGTGGTTGTCCTTCACGGCCTTGAGGAGGCTGTCCTCACAGGTCTGCTTGTAGTCCGTGGAGGCGCAGACGGTCTTGACGGCCTTCTCGGCCACGTTCACGGAGGCGACGGTGGTGGGCTTGGTGGTGGCGGAGGCGGAGGAGGAGGAGGGGGTTGCGGGGGAGGCCTTGGTGTTCTGCTCGGTGGTGACGTGCTCATTCTTTTGGTAGACGAGGACGCAGATGGTGGCAGCGGCGATGAGGAGGAGGGTGACGACGGAGACGGCGGCGATGGTGAGCCTCCGCCGGAGTTTTTGTTTCTTCTCTTGCTGCCGTCGTTGTGAGATTAGGTCGAAATCCTGGAACGCCATTTTATTATTTTTATTTGTTTAATATTTAGTATTTTATTTTGTTTTTATAATTAATAATATTTTTTTTTCTCTGCCTTGGCTTTTGGCTTGTGTATGAAATAAGCCAAGGCAGGATTTGATGTTTTCTTCGGATATTTTTATAATGGGTGGTATAGTTATATATATCTGTTTTTATTGTTTTAGGGTTGTGGATTAAATTTTTGTTTAATTCAAGTGTGAATTTGAGTGGCTTTGGAGTAGTGTCGGAGTTTAGTTAAGTGAGGTCTGGATTGGAGAATTTTTAGGACAACTTCTCTTCAGTTTTATGGTTGGGAAATGGTTGATCCATCCTTTGACCTCGTTTTACGCATCATTATTTTTTGAGTTTAATACTACTAATAAATATTTGTGGCCTAAATGTATTGGTATTCTCACAAATTAAAAAAAAAATATATTAATAAAAAGAAAATTTTATTATGGCCGAAATGTATTCGTGTTAATTATTAGGTAGTTAAATGCCACGCCTCTTATTTACACTGAGTGAATTATATAGGTATGTATGTGTAATTATGTATAGATTTACGGTTCAAATAATCTACCCCGTGTAAATAAATAGATGTAGCATCTAATTTTCCGTTAATTAGCGCATGCATGATAACCATATCATTATTTTCATTAACATATATACATGTGTCCATTAATCACATATCATATTTGGATTGTAGATGTTACATGAGGTGAAATACATCGGATCATCTTGAATTATTAATTTACACAAATAACACACATACCGACATACGCCCATGTGTATATGTACTTAGCTGATGGTTATTTATATAAATCTATGATTCAAAACTATCCAACTTGGCTGAACTTGAATCTTGAGGTTAATTGCTTTCGTTAAGTACTAGTGATGTTCCTATGTTGTCAATTAGTAACTTGTATTGGTTATTACTATATTGAATTAATGATATGATTAGTGATAATATTGTGACAAAAGTTATTGTCCTAAAAATATGATAATATATGTTGTCACTCCTTAATGATTGAATGTGCATATCGTGTTTAATCTAGCTTCAAAATTGTTATTTACAAAAAAATAATGAAGAAGTTTGACCTAGCTATTCATAGATATGAAATTAATTTACATATATGTTACAAAAATGCAGTTGATATTTCCAATTTTTCATTAGTTTTTTACTTTGTATTATTAGGGTATTTATCATTTAAAAGATTAATAGATTGATTTTCTTTGATTTTATTTATTTATTATTATATGCTTTTCCAAAAAAAAAAAATGAAAAATTCATATAGTAGCAAAAAACTATATATATAATTAGTAACTCGTAAATAACCAATCAGGCAATCACGGTCACGATCAAATTACAAATCGCCTCGCCTCCCAACTGCATAATCATCCAAACAAATAAAAAAACACAAAAACTTAATATCAACTCACACCTTCTACAATTAACAATGCTTAGAATCAACCCCCACAAATACAACTAATTATGCATCTCCACCCCAAAATAACACTATCTATTTATCATAGATACCCTTCAAATATTATACTTTGATCAAAATCACCCTCAAACGGCGCCCAACCCGGCGGTGTACTTAACCCCGGTCGAAGGCAGCCAAGTATTCCCGACAATAAACTGCGACACCGTAAAGTTACTAGCCTGAGCCGAACTATTCAAAACTCGATACCCGGGCCATTTCACACGGGCCCCCAGCCCGGAGCCCGGCCCGTAATTCATATACTCTCCGTAAAACAACGTGTCCAGCGCAAAGTTATCCGCATTCCACTCGAGCCACCCCTCGGGCCTGACACTACCGCTAATGTACGACTGCATGATCACCGTCCGCGAGTACAGTTTCCACGGCCGGCCCAAATACGTCTGTGTCGTGTTCAGCACGTCGTTCGCGACGGAGATGTTGCAGAACTGGATCGAAAAGCCCGTATTTTGAACGGGCTCCTTTCTGCCCTGTGCGGTGATGGTGTTCTTCTGGTCGGGGAGGCCTTTTCGGGCCTGGATATTGCAGTTTTGGAAAACCACCGCTCCGTCGCCGAATATGAAGTCGACAGTGCCCGTGATTACGCATTCTCGGTAGAACTGGCGCTGCGAGTGGGCGTACAGTGTGTCCTGATAGCCTCTAAAGGCGCAACGGTACAGAACGGAGAGATCGGAATCCGAACGGAATGCAACGGCTTGGTGCTTTTCCGGCCCGGCCGTGTTCTCGAATGTTATGTCACGCGCTATGAATCCCTGCCCTTTAACAGCTGCATTTGAAAGAAAATTTATTAAGATAGTCAAATTTATAGGTATTGCTCGAATCGGACCGATCAGATTAGAATAAGCACTTTCGATAAAATTCAATATTTTTTACAAGTGAAAAATTAACTTTAATTCCCTTTAAACAAAAAATCGGAAACTGTAATTTTAATAATTGAAATAAAAAATATTTTTCCAAAATCGATTTTTTTAATCCGGAATCGGAGGAATTTAAAAATCCTAAATTTTTATTCACTAAAATTATAAAATACATAAATCACAATCGCATCGAAATCTTATATATATACCAAATCGAAAAACTTGGAGCATAAATAATCCATCTGAAATTGAATTTTTTTGGATCAGAATCGTCGGAAATTGAAAAAATGTCGTTCTAATTTCCAAGATTGTATCTTTTTCAAGGTTACCATGAATGAGGGTCCTAGCATCAAAGATATTATGGGGTCCTAAATAAATATAAAACATTTAAATACAGTCAAATGAAATCAAGAAAGTAGATAGACAATTATACCACGAGACATGTCCCTAGGGATGGCAATGGGGCGGGTATGGGGCGGGTTTTGCAATCCCCATCCCCGCCCCGCTATGGAAATCCCCATCCCCATCCCCGTCAAAAATCCCCACGGGTATTAAAAGAATCCCCATACCCGCCCCATAAAATCCCCACGGGTATCGGGGCGGGTAAAAATCCCCGTCTATTTTATTTTCATTTTTTTTAATTAAATAAATATGCAATTTACTTATAATTTAAAAGTTTATTTTCAACAAATAAATCAATATTTAATTATAATACTAATATTTAATTATATAATGGAAACCTAAAAATCCCCATTTTTAACTAATATTTAATATATTACTACTATTTAATTATTTATATTTAATATAATAATTATAAAATATATATTATATATATAAATAATGCGGGGCGGGTACGGGGACGGGTACGGGGCGGGTATAGGCAAATCCATCCCCGCACCCGTACCCGGTCAAAAAAAAATTTCAATCCCCATACCCGCCCCATTTTTTTTCGGGGCGGGTAATACCCGAAAATTTCGGGGCGGGGCGGGGCGGGGATCCGTCGGGGCGGGTCAAATTGCCATCCCTACATGTCCCATGTGCTACACTACATAGGTTATTAATAAATTATTATTTTGTTGGCCCCTACTGTGTTACTAGATATTGAATATATTGATGTAGTATAAAATTTATGTCTAACTCCAACCTACACAAAATTAAATTCACTTCTCCACATTAAATGGATCAATTTGTAAGATCATTTAATTAATTTTATTGACTGTTTCAACAACGAATAAAAATATAATCCTCCTTTTGGTTAATTTTTCCATTATTCATGATAATCTTGTGTGATTAATTAGATTAATTAAGGTATTAATTAAACGTCTTACCGAATGATGCAGTGCGATAAGTGGTCCATCCGTCGATAAAATTGCGATTACCGGAAATAACGGTAACATCGACGCCATCTCCGATCATCATTATATTCCATTTCTTCTTACCGATCTCAACATAGTCCTTGTACACACCTTTCTTCACGTATATAATATATCTTTTGGTGCTATACTCGGGCGCGGCCTCAATAGCATCTTTTATACTTGTGAAATTCCCCGTCCCGTCGGCGGCAACCACCACATCCGCCATTGGGCCGTTGGCCACTTGGAGAAGATTCTGGTCGTGGGTTTTCACCCAATCCGGATATTTGTCAGTGTTGGGGATAAGTTTTCTACTACCAACACCTTTGTTGCTGCCGCCCGGGGAGGAGGCGGCTTTAGGTGGTGGGGCCGGGGCGGTCTTGACGGCGGAGAGCATGTCGTAGATGAGTGAGGTGACTTGGTCAAGGCTGCCAACAACTAAGCTTTTGACAATGCCATTTGTGCCTTCAAACCCTAGGCTGCATGTGTCTTGGTTAGTCAATGCTCCACTCAACCATGTCTTCATATCGGACCCCACGTTTCCAGTTCCATTATCTTTCGCTGTAACGCGTTTATATATACGCAGTTTTCATCACCGTTAATTAGTATAATTATCGTTCGATTACGTACGAGACAAAAAACAAAAACAAAAACAAAAAATCATTAATTAACGAAGGAGTAACTTTTTTTTTTAAATGTCTATTACATTTAAATCGTAAGCGCGTCACGATATTTAATATTGTTAATAAAACCGTATTAATTGTGATCTAATAAGACTGATATATGCAATAAAATTTAATATCCACTGATAAGCTAGCTGGATCACCAACATTTGGTTTGAAATTTGAACTTATGATAAGATAATAATTATGTGGAGATGTAAAAATAATAAAACTACAAATTTAAATACTAATAATTAATAAGCCACGCATATATATATATATATATATATATATATATATATATATATATATATATATATATATATATATATATAATATATAGTATTAGTAAATTCTCATGCATAGTGATAGGGAAAGTGTATTCCTTTTTTTTTTATGGGAAAAAAAAAGTCAGACAAAGATTATTTACAGCGCTATGCAGCTGTTAAAGAAAAAGGTAGCAAATGAAAATAAAATAAATAAATAAAAGTTGAGAAATTAAATTAATTAATTACCATTTGGATTTTTAGAAGCAGACATTGTCAAGGTCAACTCGTCAATGGAAAGATCCATGAGGTCAAGGCAGTCGGAAACGGCATTACTCTGGCGGAAATCGCCGCCAAAAGCGCCGGAGAATCGAGACACGAGAGAAATCACCTGCCGAACTATGGCGATAGTAGACATAACCGAGCCCGCGAATTCCGACGCCGGCACATTCAAACACTCCGTCTGCTCATTATTAGAATCATCCGACTTCCCGAAACCGACAAAACTCGTAAACAAAACAAACACCAGCAGAAACACAAATTTCAAGAATGCAGACGCCATGGATAAAAAAACTTATGAATTGAAAAAAGGAACTCTGGCCTAACTATAATTAATATATTAAAAGGGAAGATCAATTATATTACTTGGAATAAAAATGAAGGATAGAGAGAGAAAAAATGCGTGAAATTGGGTGTGTGTATGTATGTGAGAGAAAGTGGTTGTAATAAATAGAGGGGGAGAAGAGATCGATGGCTAAGGTAATTTGGTTATAAGGTTGGGGCAGGTGGGGTGGTGTATTAAAGGCTGAGCAGGAACTTATGCATTATATTTGCATGGATTATATTCATCACCTTCTTTATTATATCTACCTTTCATTTTTCACTTTATATATCGGAAATATTAGAGCTTTAATTTTCGTCCCTCGAGTTTGTACTGATTTCACATTTAGTTTTTCATGTCAATATTTTTGGTTATTTTACAGTTAATTTATTATTAATCTGTTAGTTGTGGCAGTAATAGAAACACGCTTGATTCGGTTAGTACTAACAAAAATTTGATGGAAATGTACTAAAAGTGTTGAATTTAATTTTGAAATATGGAATACTAATTTTTTTTTAAATTTTTTTTTTTTGGTATGTGAACAAGAAGAACCAATGAGAAATCGAGGTAAACCTTAAGGAACGAAATTTGTTTTTTTCTTAATGCCGAGGCGGGTTTTTTTATTACTATTATAATTTGGAAAGCTGATGTATGAAGTAATAACTAATTACGAGTCGATCTGCATGGTTAACCTAGTATGATTTACGTCCCTACTTCCATTGTGCATGTATGTTTACATCTACTACATTAATTATGCGCGAAGTTCAATGCAACGTCTTTAAAATTGACATATACACGTAAGCATACTCTGAATTTGCCCACATAAAAGCTTCTGCAGTTCAAAAATATAATTACCATGGAAGAACTTTCTCTTTTTTTTTTTCTTTTTTCTTTTTTTTTTTTCTTAAACGAAAAGGAGAGGGGTGTCGGCGGTCACCGCCGAAGTGTGTGAGGAGTGAGAGTGAAAGAATTCATTTCTTTTTACAAAAGCGCGCGAATCTTAGGAATGCGCGCCAGCCCATTATTAATCTTTTCTTTTCTGTTTAATTTTTCTCCCTTTCCAGATTGCCTTTTTTTTATTAAAAATAAAATGAAAAATTCTGTCATTTCTTTTATAAATATTTTAAATAGCACCTAATTATACTTTTAAATGTCTTCTCTTTTCGGGTAACTTTGCATTTTCAATAATTTTAAGAAGATGAAATCAGGGAGGCTTTATCTGAAGCATTGATTGTAGTTTGGTGGTAATTAAGATCATAAATCGTAATTATTAAGTTTATGGTGCAATTATTTAGTATTTTCATGTGATTATAACATCAAAATATTTTTTTTAATTATCATTCTTGACAAGGTTAAATAATACAAATGCAATAAAAAAAATGAATTACACTGGATTAGAAGAAAAGAAAGTATTGAATTAACAGGCTTTAAATCTAAAACATACAGATAAATTAGTAATTTTAAAAATTAAGAATAACTTTTTTTTTTACAATATACCTTACAGTAAATAATTGAGAAGAAATAAAAATAATAATGGTAAATTCATTGAGAAAAAAACATTAATAGCGGTCAATTGCAAATGCAGTTGCTAGTTGCTACAATTGATGTGCCATAAATTGCAAATGTAGTTGCTATATATATATTTTGATTATTTCATTTGACTTTGAGGAGAGTTATGCATTTATTAATTGCAACCACATATACTATATAGTATGATTGATGGCCCCTTCAGCTCATAATATTCTTGTGCATTTCATTTATATTAAATCTATCACCATTATTTAATTTTCCTACTCAACCAATTAACAGTGGCAATCTGCTATTGGTCGTTGGATCATATTCAATTTTGTCCTTTTAAATCGATCACCGAAAATTAAGAAATTGAGTTGATCATACGAATGCCATTGTTCCGTTAGGTCCAAGTTTGACAATAGTTGTTGATGTGGCGGAGGTCCGAGGATGGGTAAAGAAGTAATCGACCATCAATCTGATGCAGGGGCGGACCCAAGGTATGCCTTGGGGGGCCGCCCCTGCAGAATTTTTTTTTTTTACATTTTTTTTATTAAAATTTTAAAATTTTATGTTATTTAAATATTAATTTATACCATTTAGCCTTCCAAAATTCAAATTTAGTACCATTTTCGTCCAAAAAATTTTTTAGCATCCCACCCAATACTTCCTGGATCCGCCCCTGATCTGATCGATGTTTATTGGATTCATCGAACAGATTTTTTCCGTTTTCTATCGAACAAATATTATAGAGTGAAAAATGACGTAAGCATCAAATGGAGAATTGATATTCATAATGAAAAGGAGATAATAAAAAGCGATAAAGAATCACATGCAACGCGGAAACATCAATATCTATATTTCGTATTAGGAAAAAGACTAATTAATTAAGGGGTCATTAGCAATACACCCCTCTTATAGATAAAAACTAGTGATAAGTCCATACCCAAAATCTTCCTTTGTGAAAACCCCCTAAAATATTTAATTCCCATCTTACCCCTCTACTAGCATCTCACGATTATTTTATATTTTATATATTATTTTCAAAATCCCTAATAATAAGGGACCTAATCCCGCTATTTATGCTTAATTAATTAGTTTCTCTAATAAACTGCTCTTAATTAAACATTTATAAAGAAAAAAAAATTAAACCGCATCATCCAGAAGCAGGAGACCCACATATTGGGATTTTTCCCCCAAATCAAAAACTAGCGAAAATTCAAAATACTAGCAGCGAATCTGTAGTCACATTCGAAAATCAAAGATTGTTGCTACAAAATCGTTAACCCACCTTCCCCATTCACAGTCGTATTTTATTTTGGTGGTGTTTCGGTAGTCAAAATCCCGTAAATTTCAATTGCGATAGTCACATTCGAGTCTGCTTTTTGAAATGAAGAAGAAGTCGTCACAGAAGCGTAAACGAAGACCCAATCCTCAGGACATTATGCATCTTGATGCCGGTTAGTTTGTATACCTAAATCCTTTGTTTTTTGCCGATCAATTTTTTGTACCATATATTGCCAAAAATATATTATTTGTGCCCGTAGATCCAATTTAATTTCACTTTAAGGGTTTATTGGGATGATTTATGGTTGCCTCATGACTATATGTGACTGTACTACATACACAATGAATCTATGGTTGTTCGGATTTCATTGAAAAGTGTTCTGTATGTATGCCCAAACTGCAATTTAACCAATGTTAAAAATGTTGTGACTTCTAAACATTTCCAGCAGAAGCATGCTCTGATTTGAGTATGTTAAAAAAATTTGAAACTAAATTAGTGTATACTTGTAGTCGTTTTATGTAGTCATGTTGATATAATGTATGGTATATGTCTGCATGTTGATGTAAATAGTTTGTATACCAATGTTAAAAATGTTCTGACTTCTAAACATTTGCAGCAGAAATGTGCTCTGATTTGAGTATGTAAAAAAAATTTGAAACTAAATTAGTGTATCGTTATAGTCTTTTTTTGTAGTCATGTTGACATAATGTATGGTATATGTCTACATGTTGATGTAATTAGTTGTATACCAATGTTAAAAACGTTATGACTTCTAAACATTTGCAGCAGACCACATGCTCTGATTTGAGTATGTTAAAAAAATTTGTAACTAAATTAGTGTATTGTTATAGTCATTTTATGTAGTCATGTTGATATAATGTATGGTATATATCTGCATGTTGATGTCATTAGTTGTATTGTTATAGTCATTTTCTGTAGTCATGGTGACATAATGTATGGTATATGTCTACATGTTGATGTAATTAGTTGTATACCAATGTTAAAAATGTTATGACTTCTAAACATTTGCAGCAGAACACATGCTCTGATTTGAGTATGTTAAAGAAATTTGTAACTAAATTAGTGTATTGTTATAGTCATTTTATGTAGTCATGTTGATATAATGTATGGTATATGTCTGCATGTTGATGTCATTAGTTGTATTGTTATAGTCATTTTCTGTAGTCATATTGGTATAATGTCTGCATGTGTGATCGTAGATCCAGATTAGATCAATTTTGTTGTTTCAGATGAGATTTACTTTTGTACACATATTTTTGGGGGCAGCAGTCATTTTTGGGGTATGCGTTGATGTATTAATTGCCAACAATAGATGTTGTGGTCTATTCATATGGAGTCATGTTGTAGCCCTGTGTTTAAAGACCTTCCATTGACATAGATGAATAATGCTAACTAAGTTGGTAAATTGTTAATTACATAGTCACATTACCATCATAAACTATATGTGACTAGGCCAGAATATGTAGTTATACAGCCACATTACCACCTTCCATGCTATGAATTTTTAACTTTTGCATTGGGAATGTGATATGGTTTGAGCATATAATGAAAACCTGTAATTGAATTGGTGTATTGATGCAGTAACCTTCTGTAGTCATATTGGTAGAATGACTTATTTATGGTTGCATATGTGTGTAACATACAGAAAATTGATTTTTTTCAGATGAAACTCGAAACATGGCACGTCAAGTGCTTGACCATGGTACGTGGACCTCACAATTCAGAGGGAGCTTGAAGTCAGTTGTTTCATTCTTTGAGGATGTAACACTTGCACCAGCACATTACGAATGCTTACGGCATATTAACTGTAGTCATATTTTTTCTTTATATTGCGTTTTTTTTATATTTTGAACTTAAAAATTCCGATTATATGGCATAGTCATATTTACCAAATCATATAAAACAACGAAGATTCCCTATTGTTTACGAAAATAATTCAATCAATATCCACACAAAAAAATCAATTTGAATTTACTTACTAGAAGCCAACTTGAAAACGAGAATATAGATTATATTCAACAACAGTCATATTCGAATATGACTACAGTCATATTCGAAAAATACATAAATATGGCTATAGTCATATTCGAAGTCAAACTGCACCACTTATCAGTGACAAAGCCAACGAGGTCTTCATACACAAAATCAACCTGACATATCTTCACCCCAAACGAGCCTCCATACTTCAACACAATCATCAAGGTTGACGACATGATGTGCAGCACTACAAAAAAAAAAAACGAGAATGTGACTACTACGTGACTACTTCTGATGAATAAATCTGCACTACTCTGTAAATGCAAATCACATAATATTATGTGAATTCAATTCAACCACAACAAACACATTGAAACATATCAAGTAACGCAAAAAAACAAATTACAATAAAATTACACTATCGTATCAATTAACGCAAAACGAACAAAAGATTTACAGAGTAGTCACAACGTGACTCTGCGTTAATCGGTATAAAATTTCAATCAGTAACGATCATTGACACCAATTAAGACGACCCAAAAAAAAAAACAATGAAAATTCGGTTCTAAATATACATACACACATATCTGAATACACACACTACAACCCAGCCCCAATTACGAAACCAACAAAATTAAAGCAGAACCTCTGACCTTCAAACACAGTTTAACTAATCGAGTGAATCAACAATAGTCACATTCGAACCAGAGTAGTCACGTTGATGCTGCTGTTTCAGATCTGGAGAGAAAAAAAAATGAAAAAAATCGAAAATAATGAAAGGGATGGAGGGTGAGGCGAGGACAACGACGGTGAATGAAAGAGAGAGAGAGTGGGGTGAATTTATAATTTTTTTAATTGAGAAGAAGAAGAGAAATTGAATTTCGGCCGGCCGGCGGTGACGAGGACGCGAACAACGGTGGCATCTCCGAGGCGGACGGCAGGGTGTAGTGCGGTGAGCGGCTGTGATCGGTAGCCAGGGTGAGCGGACTACGACGGTGGTGCGGAGAAGGAGAAGGATGGCGGCGATGGCAGTTGATCTGCAGGGGAGAAAAAAAAAGAAAAAGAGAGAGAGAGAGAGAGCAATTGAGAACGAGAGTGAGAGAGAAGAGAGAGAGAGAAAGAGGGAGAGATATACAAGAGTGAGAAATAAAATTATATCACGTTAAAAACCTAACACATGGGCACTTTAGTCTTATCATGTCTGGTGAGGGGGGTCTCACTAATTTAGATTGAGATTTGGGTTTTGAAAAAAGTCTTTAAAGTCAATTGGGTTTATATCAAAATATTTTTCAAATGAGGGGGGTATTGCATATTTCCCCAACTTTGTTTAGACTTTAGATTAAGCTTTTTGACAATATTGATTATTAAAAAAAAAAACGGATACATTCAATTATTCGAGTTTGATCTCTTACAATTAATACTTTTTAGTGTTAGAATTGATCAACAAGTCAGTCAAGATGAGTGGCTGTGATGCTAACTGAATTTAATGAGCGTCATGCAAGCAACTAATTGTACGCGCACTGATGGATTGGTCACATACGGAAACAAACTAACTGCATTGGTAAGGTGGAGCACGTGGATTGGCTGAGAGAGATCAAGACACGCGTGTTTAAGATTTGGGGAGAGAGAGAGAATTGTAGAAGACTCAATTTTAGAAGGTTTTGAGTTGTTTTGATCTTCTCGTTGATTGTAGTTTGTATAACTCTTGTACTTATTGATTGAATAAAGATCTCGATTACCCTCCACTTGATTGTGTTTTGAATTATAGTTGAATCATTCGATTTCCAGATTCAATTATATGCTAAAGTTCAGGCAAAATTAGGGTTCTCTATGCTTTGTTATGTGCATAAAGTCGTAAATTGTGTTTGATTGTGGTTTGAACTTTGAGTGATTATTTGCGTTGAATTGACCTCGACTCTCAACACGTAGATTTACTCAAGAACTTGGCCAAAAATGTACATTTTTGTGCTTGTTGTTACAAATTTACAATAACCAAGTATGGGGGCAACTTGCGAAACGTTCACAAGTTGGAGGGCAAAATACACTTAACCCATAAATTAATAACTAATTTTATTTGGAGAGTATTAGTTAAGAATTAGGACCACATTAAAATGGACAAATCCTTGTTACTAAAATGTAACGAACTTAAAGGGATGAATAAAGTGGGATTTGTGACAATCTGATTGTTCATCGGAACTCCCAAACTCTTTCTTGTGTCTTGTTAAAGTCCCACATTCTTGCTAGCTGCTTTCCAACGTTGTCTCCCCCACCACACAAAAAATATCACTTTGCCCCCTCAAAAAATATTATTTTAACACTTTCCCCCCTGAAAATAAAAAAAAAACGACGTCGCCCCTTACAAATATAGAGCTTGTTGTACTTTCCCAAAAATGTATTTACAAAAATTCTCGTCAAATTTGAGTAATTTGGAAGGGTAAATTCATGGGACTGCCCTTTTTTTTTTTTTTTTAATATTCAGGCAGTAAAATGCTAAAATGATATTTTTGAGGGGGCGAAGTGCTATTTGCACTTTTTTTTCTCTCTCCTTTTCTACTATTAATTTAAAGGATAAATTCTACAAAAACGCTACCCCTTCCAGTTTAAATAATTATTAAAAAAAAATCAAAAAATAAAATAATTAAAAATTCAAGACAACGAGAAAACCTAGTTCACAACGTCAGCAACAATTTTTTTTTTATAATTATTTAAACTGAGAGGGGTGGCGTTTTTGTAATTTCAGAACTTAGATCAAACGGTGTTAAGGTCAAAGGTCTGAAAAGTGATATTGAGCCAAAGTACAATCGCGAAAATTGGAATTTACCCTAATTTAAAATCATCACTCTATATTTAAATATTTAGTTAATATTCGGCTTGTCTAAAAAAGTAAAAATACACTCAATGTGTGGGCATTGAAACTCATCATACATTCATTTCATTTACATAGGGGAAAAATGAACTTAACTCATCTTAGCACTAATATAGTAATAACAACAATTTCATACATAAGAAAATGCAATAGTTAAAGGACACATTATCCTGAAATAATAAATAGTTAACTTCTATACGAAAATACGAACCGTCTAAAGCCGAAAGTCGTTCATCTACGCTACCGTTGCAGCACTTAAAACAATTTTTTCACTACTCGAAATGAAATTAAATAGATCCATAATTAAATAAAGAAGAATACATCCCACAATGTGTGAGATCTCTCCTTAAAAACAATGGACTGACCTAGCCAAGGGAGTTTAGTCAGAAATTCTATCTTCATATTCATCGAAACCCAGATCTGCTATTAGCTCTCGATTTTGTCGTGTAACAAATAATCTCTCCAATCTGACTTGGGAATTAAATCCCTGTACACAGAACCAACTTTATCAGCAGTAAACAATATACTAGCAGTAAAAATTAATGCCAAAACTCATTACAGAAACCATTTCTCGATTTCTTCCTCGATACAATGTCTGAAAACGAGTCGACCAACTGTCCAGCCAAACTACTCGGGTCGTCAATTAATGTCTGAATAAAAGTGTTGACCACTCTCCGCTCCTGCACAGTCGATCTCAAACTAAACCATGTCAGCAATTTCAATCGAAAATCCTTTTCGATATAGCCCTCACGTTCCATCCAACGGATAATCTTCACACAATCTTCGAAATTCTCATCCAACGAACACGATTCGGTTTGGACTTGGAAGGGAGATCCGTTCGTAAGGGTACTATCGGAATCCTGCATTTCCCCCTTTCTTTTCTTGCAAGAGACAACCTTTTCGGAATCAAAACCTCGTACTTCGTGAGAAAAAGCATCGTCTGTTTCAACAGCTTGCCCGAAAGTGCACCCATTATTATTGTCTTCTTCGTCTCTAGACGACTCAACAGGAGCAAACTCCTCGTTGAGATCTGGCACAGAAGCAACATTTAAGTCCAGCTGGCGAGAAACAGACGGCATCTTTTTTTGTTCACGAGTTTTTTCTACCTTAACTTCACCAGAACATGGCTCGAAACAGCAATGTTCTTGAGTCAAAGGTAGCCTTAAAATCTTCCCAAGGTCTCGAACTTTGAAACCCGAGTCTAATTCTACGTCTGTTGAGCTCCCTCCGTTAATTGAATTTTCCTTCGAGTGATTTCTTGCTATGGAATTACTACAGTTCTTGTGAAATATTTCTACACTTTTTGTGAAGCACTTAACTTCAGAGTGTCCAAAGTCGCCACTATCTGTATAAGATATTATCCGAATTGAGTACTCTGTGCAAGGCTGGAGATGAGATATGCAAACTCTCCTCTGATCTCTCGAAAATACAGAAACGGGATCTTTACAGTAAACATCTTCCTTTGTCTTACGGTACCAAAGTTTGTAGCCCTTAATATCATTATCCAATGAAGTTGATAAATCAATCAATAGAACAACAATTGAAGACGATGTAATTTCCTCGAACAGGAATTTGCAAGCTGCAGGAAGTGAACCCTCTGCAAAATGGGAGAATATAATGAACTTAAGAACAACCTGAAATAATTTCATTAATGAGGATACTAATATTTAAGAAATGATTACCGTTTATCTCAATCGCAGGGGTTGACTTTGAGGCAATCAATTCATCGGCCTTTTCAACTGCAAGAGAGCAAAGCCTCTCTACATCAACTGCTACAGAGAGTCGGCTGACAATGCCTCGAGCCATCTTGGCCGAATCTCCATCAACCGGGCCCACCTCTGTTTCCAACTTGGCTTTGGCTTCTCTAACAAATTGATGGAGTTCACTAAACCTGGAAGTCCCGTTCAGGAGCCTGTAACTCAATGATATCCTATAGCACAGCACATCAACTCGGCGAGCATCCTTAGCTATAGTTAACTGCTTCTTCCAGGACCTGTTACCGTAAATTTCGATCATAAAGAGCTACAATAAATAAATTGGAAGACTAGATAAAGGTCGATAAGGTGCCAAAGGGAAAGGAACAAAAGGAGTTGATAAGCTCACCCAAGTATCCCTGAAACTTTGCCACAAGAAGCACAACAGTAGCTTCCATCCAACTGCATCAACATCCCAAGATCAACGACCCCAACCTTACTACGTTGTAGGGCACACTCGATGTGGCAAGATAAGCCACAGGCGTCTCCTAAACCAGATTCAGACGTGCATTCCAACCAAAGACTCGGGTCCTTGTTTTCATCAAATAAATGACATATGCAACAAGAGCACCTCTTGCAAAATGCGTCGTCTGCTGAAAGAACGGCCCGGCATGCAGAGTTTTTACAGATCAATGGACTAGAGTCTTCTAAATCAACACATGGCTCTGAACTGGGAGCTATTCGAACGGGATTTTCCGCCTTCCTTTGTTGTTTCCTGGACTGAGAAGGCTGATCTTTGGGGCATGAAGGCGCTTTCTTGAGTTCATGAGCCTTTGAGAGTTTCTTAATAGCCTTTGGAAGTTGTTCGGCCATTGTAAAGTTTTGTGAAGCAGATTGGCACTTTACCAAATAAGCTATTTCTGAACTGATATATGTCTGACGGTTACTTCATGAATCCTTTAAGAGTCCCGGGAATCTTGATGCATCATCAGGGTACCCATTTTGCTCCCCCTTGGCAAGCATATAAAATTTGTGTTAGAACAAAGACACAAAGCTTGGAGAAAAAGTTGAAAACGACAAGTGTGAAGTAATGTCAACTGTCGGAATTTAAGAAGATCAGTGACGACCAAAGATCAGTCTCTATTCTTCAGTTAACCAACAAATCGCATTCGATGTCTAGAGAATATTATTATACACAGAAACAAATTATGATATCTTCACGTATTTCTTACACAACATTATCGACTGGAAAGAAATAAAGAATAACCAACACAGTAACCAATATACACAGAGTTTGCTAGCAATTCTATGATCGTGCATTGTTTAATTCGTACAATCATCGACAAACATTTAATTCCTCAGCTAAATTCACCCAACACCTCCTCAAGCCCCAAAGATCGAAACAGAGATGCTTCTATAAATCATGGAAATTTGTATAAAATGCAAAAAATCAGCAACCAGAAATTTACCTTGGAGAGTATTTCTTTAGCTTCGAACCCAAACAAAGTTCTCCCGTATAATTTTTCAGCCTTCAGATATCTTTTGCAAAAAAGTCCATGAACGGGCCTCCCTAAGATCACAAACAAGAAATTTTTCAAAGTGAACGAAGAAACTTACACACTTTACGAACAACTATCTTGAAATTGGCATTATGAAAAACAATAATGTATGTGTCACGCACGTAACTGACATATGCTGACAGAAAGCTCAAGTTTCGAGAAAAGCAACTTCAATAATTTGTTTCAATCTTTCCCAATCGTAAGGAAAAACAACACCAAACAATAATATGAATACTAAGGTTTGATTACACAAAGATAAAATAAGAAATTAAAACTAAAATGAAAAAAGTAAGGATCATGATTTCTCAAGCCAGTGCACTTAATTTGATACCACTTACCACCCAAGCTCGACGAGTCCAGCTAAAAACAAATTAATTAATTAAAAAAAAAGATGGAAAAATAGAAAAATTAATACAAACAGGAAATGCAGCTAGAAATTCCACCAATCAGCGCCCAAAAAAACCTAGTACCATAATCATAAAATAAGAAGAGAATTTCCGAAAAGCCCAAATCAGAAACCCTAGAAAATTTACTTTCTTTCGGAGATAAAAGAAAAGGAATTTCACCTTCAGCAGAAAAATTATAGCAACGATACTGCCTATAGATCTCGTCGGAGTAAAATTCAGCCACGCCTTGCTCCAAATTGATCGTTAAAACTCGACGGCTGAACTATTTGGAGGGAGTTCTCCGACTGAAAGCATATTGCGTTTGTCAATCAACGCCTTCGTTAGATAGATTTTTGGGCGACTTTTTTTAAACGGGTCGGGTTTAAACCCAATCCAATATAAAATTGTGACCCGACCGAACCGGATTCGGCCCAAATAAAATGATCACCCGAAAACCCACTTAAGATAGCCCACCCAGCCCTGCCGGTTCAAAAATATCTACTCAAAAAATTGGAAAATTACAGTTTTTACTCCCAAATTTGCACCAATTTTACATTTGGTCATTTATGTTTACAAAAAACACATTTAGTCATTCATGTTACAATAATTTCATACTTTTGGTCATTTCCATCAATTTACCATTAGTCTGTTGGTTAAGACAGTGATGGGCACACACACTTGATTCCGTTAGTACTAACTGGAAAATTGACAAAAATGACTAAGGTGGTGTTTGCAAAAGGTTATTTCAAAGCAGAAGTTAGTTTTGTGAGTTAAGTTGGAATTAAGTGTTTATTTTTAAAAGTTGGGGGTGTTTGCAAATTAGCTGGAAAATCAACCAAAATAGAAAAAACAGGTAATGGGTGCTTTTAAAATTATAGCTTAAAACAACTTATTTTAAAAGAAGCAAAAGTAAAAAAAATATTTTGCAAACACATTAAAATAGATTATGTGCAGAAAAAAACCTCATAATTTATTTCTAAAAGCATTTGCAAACAACACCTATAAGTGTTGAATTTATGAATACGAGGGACCAGATATGTTTTTCATGAACATGAGGGACCAAATGTCGAATTCGTGTAAACTTGTAGGGTGAAAACCGTAATTTTCCCATAACAAAAATGGAAAATTAGAATTAATCCTCATATTAGCATATCTCCTGTCCAGAATAAATTATACCCGACAGCCGGCGGACTTCGCCGGACTATTAGTCCATCTGAATTTCGATGATCTTCTTCGCCGTTGAGCTTCGTCGGAAACCTTAATATCTTCCATAACTTCGATTCACTGAGGTGGAGCCCTGACGAGGTAAAATCCCCCTTTTACCACTCCGATTCAACATTTTTTTTCTGTTTGGCCGCCTGAAATTTCAGATTTTTTGATGCGCACGTTTTAACTTGTATTGATAGTTTAATCTGTACTTTTACTTTGTACAAATGATGTTTTTTTTTCTGGTATGCATCAAATTAACCCTAGAATTACTTTAGCTCGCATTAGATTAAGTTAGCATCAAAGTCATTAGTGAAAGGGTTAAACAAATTTACAAGGCCTCGTTTTCAGTTAGCATGTTGATAAGATTGATTGAATTGGATAGGATTATATTGTTCCTAATAATGTAATATGTGATAATCTCATGTTTGTAATTTAATATATAAACCCTTGTATGATGTAATCATGTAATATGCTTCATAGGATTGCGTAATAATAGGGGTTGAGGTTTGACATAATATCGTTTGAACGGTTAATTAAATTTTGGGCTCGTTTTTTAATCACGGGTTTATAAATTTTATGCTCCTTTCGTGCTCGCTATGCTAAAATGACTGATAAAATCGGCCTTGGTATTGTTGTTCGTGTTGGATTTCATGAGCTGGTGCAATAATATATGAACTTAGGCAGAAACTTGTCATAGTTATCCCTCGTTCGGTGATTCTTGTGCTGTAAGGCCTCGTTTGTTTGGGGGAGATTAGCCACGATTAACTAAATAATTGGACTTTGTTTGATGTTTGGTATCCCCAATAATTTACCGGGTCGACCCGCAAATGCGACCCGCAAATATTATGTTATCATGGCTTATCTTGCCTTCTAGGCATGTTTTTTATTTGATTATTGTGGGTCCAATATTATAATTGGGTTTCATTACATTATTTAATCTTATCTTGGCAACCAAACGTGACCTAAGAGTTCCTATAATTTCCGATTTTAAAAACATGATATATCTCTTGGTGTTTGTGTTGTAGAAAACAAGATCTTTCTTGTGTGAAGCTTCTTCTTGTTCTATTGTCAGGTAATTCGAAACTGAAGACCCCCAACCGTGGGCCCCCCCTCGAGTTTTCTCTTTCACGAACATAGAGATGGCATCACTACTTACCCACCCTCCATCCAGTATTCCAGTACCTACCGTTTCTCGTTCGCGTCACAATCGCTTGAAGGTGTGGAAATCCCAAAATCTACCTGCCATTAGCAATTCACGACGCATTAGTGTTCACCGTCGATCTATCTGCTATGCAAATACTTCCCCATTTGAACCCTCTCCAATAACATACGCCCCAGAAAACGAAGAAACTGCCAATATCTTCGAGTCCATGAATTCTTCTCAAGAACTAGCCAAGCCTTCGACAACCAAAACCGAACCATTCATCGCGCAGCTCCAATACCTCAGAAAGCCCCTATGGCTTGTGGGGCCCGCAATCCTCCTACTCACGGGGGTGGTCCCCACCTTATGGCTGCCCATCTCTTCGATATTCATGGGTCCCACCATAGCCACGCTCCTCTCTCTCACAGGCCTCGACTGCATATTCAACCTCGGCGCTTCCCTCTTCCTCCTCATAGCAGATTCCACTGCCCGTACAGCTCAGCCTTGCTGTAATAAGCCGCCCCATGCTTATAAATTCTGGAACACGCTAGCAAACGTAACGGGATTTCTCGTTCCCCTACTGGTGCTCTTTTGTTCCCGAAGGGGCTTGCTCGAGCCTCAATTGCCGTTTATATCTTTTGCGGTGCTTCTGGGGCCCTACTTTCTGCTGCTGTCTGTGCAGATGCTGACGGAGATGCTGACGTGGCACTGGGGGTCGCCCGTGTGGCTGGTGGCCCCCGTTGTGTACGAGGCGTACAGACTGTTGCAGCTGATGAGGGGTCTGGGGCTTGGAGTCGAGCTGGCAGCGCCCGATTGGATGGTGCACACGGTGAGAGGGTTAGTGTGTGGGTGGGTGCTGGTTCTTGGTGTGCAGCTCATGAGAATTGCTTGGTATGCTGGTTTTACTTCTTCTCTTGCTTCTTCTTCTGTTGATGATTATTGATCCAACGGCTGAAAATGTTTGTTTGTTTCACCTTCTTGTATATATATAGGGTAAATTACAACCACCCCTGAGGTATGGTTAAATTACAAAAAAAACCCTCATGTTTGGGTAATTACAAACACCCCTCAACTTTAAATCTTCTTAAACGTCCACCCTCGCGGTTTCAAATTTAGTGGAATCATCTAGATTATATGGAATATTCTCGATTTTGTACTCGTTTTATCCCATTCGAGCTCCACATTTTGCAGCAAGATGTGTATTTTGGCTTGTATATATCAGATTGTGGTGCATCATAGACTGTATTTTTGCACAAAACGAGTACAAATTAGAGAACATTCCACCGAATCTAGATGATTATGTTGAATTTGACACAATAATGGTGGAGGTGTAAGAAGATTCATAATTGAGGGGTAGATGTAATTATCCAAACAGTAGGAGTTTTTTTCGTAATTGATCATACTTCAGGGGTGATTGTAATTTACCCATATATATATGTACCAAATTTGTAAATTTGTTAGTAATATACTGTATGTATTTACAGGATGATCCTTTTTTTTTTAATTATTATTGTTATTATTATTGTTGTTATTACATGATTAAGAATTATGTTCCAGATAGGTGCTTCAAGCTGGCAGTTGTAATAAACTTAACCAACTTGACAATTATTGCATATTATATGTATATATACCTTTTTTTTATTGTTTAATTTAATATTTTAATTCTTTTTTGTCTTGTAATACATTCTATCCAAAGAATGTTATCGATGTCGGATCTCTCAAAATTCTCGCGCGTGTAGATGTTACATCTGATGAAATATATTGAATTTAATCGTTTTCATTTACACACAATCATACATTAGTACGTATGAATGTGTGTGTTGTGAAACGATGAAGTTATTGGATGGTTATTCGTCTTTGATTTATACACAATTACACACTAATATTATATATACAAAAGTT